TCGCTGTAGGTCCTGGCTCTACGTGTATTACTGTAGGTCCTGGCTGTGCATTGCTGTAGGTCTCGGCTGTGCGTTGATGTAGCTTCTGGTTGTGTATTGCTGTAGGTCCTGGCTGTGTGTGTATTGCTGTAGGTCCTGGCTGTGTGTGTATTGCTGTAGGTCCTGGCTGTGTGTGTATTGCTGTAGGTCCTGGCTGTGTATTGCTGTAGGTCCTGGCTGTGTGTGTATTGCTGTAGCTCCTGGCTGTGTTTGTATTGCTGTAGGTCCTGGCTGTATATTGCTGTACGTCCTGGATTTGTATCGCTGTAGGTCCTGGCTGTATATCGCTGTAGGTCCTGGCTGTATATCGCTGTAGGTCCTGGCTGTGTGTATATCGCTGTAGGTCCTGGCTGTGTGTGTATCGCTGTAGGTCCTGGCTGTATATCGCTGTAGGTCCTGGCTGTGTGTGTATCGCTGTAGGTCCTGGCTGTATATCGCTGTAGGTCCTGGCTGTATATCGCTGTAGGTCCTGGCTGTATATCGCTGTAGGTCCTGGCTGTATATCGCTGTAGGTCCTGGCTGTATATCGCTGTAGGTCCTGGCTGTATATCGCTGTAGGTCCTGGCTGTATATCGCTGTAGGTCCTGGCTGTATATCGCTGTAGGTCCTGGCTGTATATCGCTGTAGGTCCTGGCTGTGTGTGTATCGCTGTAGGTTCCGGCTGTGTATTGCTGTCGGTCCTGTCTGTGCGTGTATTGCATTTGGTCTTGGCTGTGTATTGCTGTGGGTCCTGGCTGTATATCGCTGTAGGTCCTGGCTGTGTGTGTATCGCTGTAGGTTCCGGCTGTGTATTGCTGTGGGTCCTGGCTGTGTGTATACAACAACAACAAAACTACATTTATAGAGCGCCTTTCACGTCGGGAGGATAGCCCAAAGCGCTGAACAGTCAGATGTCAGGGCCCGAGCATGGGGGAGGGGGGGTGTAGGGGTGAGGGAAGGCAGAGAGGTGGGAGGGAGACCAAAGCCACGATCGAAGAGGAGGGTCTTGAGACCGGCCGTGAGGGAGTCAAGGGAGGAAGTGAGGCGAAGGGACCATGGGATGGAGTTCCAGAGTGTGGGGGCAGAGAGGCTGAAAGCCCGGCCACCGATGGTAGGGCGGGTCGGGCGGGAGACATGGAGCAGCCGGAGCCCAATGAACGGAGGGAGCGGGCGGGTTGGTAGGGAGTCAGCGGGTCAGAGAGGGAGGAGGGGGCGAGGCCATGGGTGGCCTTAAAGGTGAGGACGAGGATCTTGAACTCGATCCTCTGGGGGATGGAGAGCCGGTGGAGTCGGGCGAGGGTGGGGGTGATGGGGTCACGGAGCGATACACTGGTGTACATCCTGGCTGTGCGTATATCAGTGTAGGTCCTGACTGTGTATCTCTGTATGTCCTGGATGTGTGTGTATTGCTGTAGGTCCTGGCTGTGTATTGCTGTAGGTCCTGGCTGTGTATTGATGTAGATCCTGACTGTGTATTGATGTAGGTCCTGGCTGTGTATCTCTGTATGTCCTGGATGTGTGTGTATTGGTGTAGGTCCTGGCTGTGTATTGATGTAGGTCCTGGCTGTGTATTGATGTAGGTCCTGGCTGTGTATTGATGTAGGTCCTGACTGTGTATTGGTGTAGGTCCTGGCTGTGTATTGATGTAGGTCCTGACTGTGTATTGATGTAGGTCCTGGCTGTGTATTGATGTAGTTCCTGACTGTGTATTGATGTAGGTCCTGGCTGTGTATTGATGTAGATCCTGACTGTGTATTGATGTGGGTCCTGGCTGTGTATTGATGTAGGTCCTGGCTGTGTATTGATGTAGATCCTGGCTGTGTATTGATGTAGGTCCTGGCTGTGTATTGGTGTGGGTCCTGGCTGTGTATTGATGTAGGTCCTGGCTGTGTTTGTATCGCTCTAGTTCCGGGCTGTGTATTGCTGTAGGTCCTGGTGGTGTGTGTGTTGCTGTATGTCCTGGCTGTCTGTGTATTCATGTAAGTCCTGACTGAATATCGCTGTAGGTCCTGGCTGTATATCGCTGTAGGTCCTGGCTGTGTGTTGCAGTAGGACCTGGCTATGTATTGCTATAGGACCTGGCTGTGTATTGCTGTACGTCCTGCCTGTGTATTATTGTAGAACCTGGCTGTATATCGCTGTAGGTCCTGGCTGTGTGTGTATTCATGTAAGTCCTGACTGTATATCGCTGTAGGACCTGGTTGTGTATTGCTATAGGACCTGGCTGTGTGTTGCTGTATGTCTTGGCCATGTGTTGCTGTTGGTCCTCGCTGTGTATTGCTGCAGGTCCTGGCTGCGCATTGTTGTAGATCATCGCTATGTGTAACTGTAGGACCTGGCTGTGTGTGTATTGATGTTGGTCTTGGCTGTGTATCGCTGTAGGTCCTGGCTGTGTGTTGCTGTAGGTCCTGTCTGTGTGTGTGTTGCTGTAGATCCTGTCTGTGTGTGTATTGCTGTAGTTCCTGGCTGTGTGTTGCTGTAGGTCCTGTCTGTGTGTGTGTTGCTGTAGGTCCTGTCTGTGTGTGTATTGCTGTAGTTCCTGGCTGTGTGTGTATCGCTGTAGGTCCTGTCTGTGTGTGTATTGCTGTAGTTCCTGGCTGTGTGTGTATCGCTGTAGGTCCTGTCTGTGTGTGTATCGCTGTAGGTCCTGTCTGTGTGTGTGTTGCTGTAGTTCCTGGCTGTGTGTGTATCGCTGTAGGTCCTGTCTGTGTGTGTATCGCTGTAGGTCCTGTCTGTGTGTGTATTGCTGTAGGTCCTGGCTGTGTGTGCATTCTCTCAAGCGAAGAGACCTGGGTTCGATTCCCGTCAGGGTGAAGCCTTGGGTAAGTTTCCTCACCCCACGCACCTAATAATAATCCGTCAAGAAATAATAATTTGGTCACTTCATTCCATGACTGTTTGTGGGACATTGCTGTGCGCAATTGGCTGCCGCGTTTTGCCCACAAATAGAGTCAATTCACTTTACAGTCTATTCTGTGAAGCGCTTTGAGACGTCGAGAAGATGTGAAAAGCACTATATCAAATGCAAAGATTATTATTATTATTGCTGTAGGTCCTGGCTGTGTGTGTGTTGCTGTAGTTCCTGGCTATGTATCACTGTATGTCATGGAGTCCTGTAGCTCAGTGGTTAGAGCACTCGCTTTGCAAGTGAGAGACCTGAGTTCAATTCCAGGCAGAGGGCGAAACCTTGGGCAAGTTTCCTTACCCCACACAGAGCCTAATAATAATCCTCCAAAACCAATAACAATAATAAATTGGTCATTTTCAATCCACGACTGTTTGTGGGACATTGCTGTGCGCAATTGGCTGCCGCGTTCGCCCACAAATATACAGTCAATTCACTTTACAGTGTGTTCTGTAAAGCCCTTTGGGACGTCCTCCCGACGTGAAAAGCGCTATATCAAATGCAAGGATTATGGCTGTGTGGGTATATCAATTTAGGTCCTGTCTGTGTGTGTATCGCTGTAGGTCCTGTCTGTGTGTGTATCGCTGTAGGACCTGGCTGTGTGTGTATCGCTGTAGGACCTGGCTGTGTGTTATACAGCCAGGACCAACAGCAATACACACACAGCCAGATCCTACAGCAATACACACACAGCCTGGACATTCAGAGCCAGGACTTATAACAATGTGCAGCCAGGACCTACAGCAATATACACACAGCCAACACCTACAGCGATGCACAGCCAGGACTAAAGAAATAAACACACAGCCAGGACGTAGAGCAATATACACACAGCCGGGACCTACAGCGATACACAGCCAAGATTTGCAGCAAAATAAACACAGGATCTAAATCAATACACAGCCAGGACCTATAGCAATACACAACCAGAACCTACAGCAACGCACAGCTGAGACCTACAGCAATACACATGCAGCCAGGACTTACAGCGATACACACACAGCCAAGACCTACAGCAATGCACTGCCAGGACATACAGCAACACACACGCAGACAGGACATACAGCAATACACACACAGCCAGAACCTACAGCAAAACATAGCCAGGATCTACAGCAATACACAAGCAGGACCTACAGCAATACACAGCCAAGACCTACAGCAATGCACTGCCAGGACATACAGCAATACACACGCAGACAGGACATACAGAAATACACAGCCAGGACACACAGCAATACACAGCCAGGACCTACAGCAATACACAGCCAGGACCTACAGCAATACACAGCCAGGACCTACAGCAATACACAGCCAGGACCTACAGCAATACACACACAGCCACGACCTACAGAAATACACAGCCAGGACATACAGCAGCACACACACAGCCAGGACACACAGCAATACACAGCCAGGACCTAAAGCAATAAACACACAGCCAGGAGCAATATACACACAGCCGGAACCTACAGCGATACACATCCAAGACTTACAGCAATACACGCACAGCCAGCACCTTCAGCAGTACACACACACAGCCAGCACCTACAGCAATACACGCACAGCCAAGATCTACAGCAATACACACAAAGCCAGGACATACAGCAATACACACACAACCGGGACCTACAGCGATACACAGCCAAGACCTACAGCAATACACACACACAGCCGGGGCCTATAGCAATACACAGCCAAGACCTACTGCGATACACAGCCAGGACCTACAGCAATACACACACATCCAGGACATACAGCGATATACACACAGCCAGGATCTACAGCAAAACACAGCCGGGACATATAGCACACAGCCAAGACTACATCAATACACAGACAGCAACTACAGCAACACACACACAACCAAGGCCTACAGCAATATACTGCCAGGAACTACAGTAACACCCACACAGACACCATCAGCAATACACAGAAACACAGCACCTACAGCAATACAGAGAGAGACACAGCACCTACAGCAATACATAGACACAGCACCTACAGCAATCGACACAGAAACAGCACCTACAGTAATACACACAGAGACACAGCACATAGGACAATACACACATACGCAGCACTACAGCAATACTCAGAGACACAATACCTACAGCAATACACAGGGAAACACAGCACCTACAGCAATACACACGGAGACAGCCCCTACTACAACAACAACAACAAATTACATGTGTACAGCGGTTTTAAGTCTTGAAGGACGTCCTAAGGTGCTGGAGAGTCAGAGTTTCGGACCTGAGCTGGGGTTGAAATCGGGGAGTGTTTTGGGCAGGTGGGGGAAGGAGGGTGATCAAAAGCACGGTTGAAGAGGAGGGTCTTGAGTTGGGTCTTGAAGGAGGCGAGGGAGGGGGCGAGGTGGAGGGACTGCGGGATGGAGTTCTAGAGGGTGGGGGCAGAGTGACTGAAGGCCCACTAGCAATAGTTGGACGAGTGAGGTGGGGGACATGAAGCAGGCTGGAGCCCGCTGAGCGGAGGGAGCGAGCAGGATGGTAAGGGGTGAGGAGGCCAGAGAGGTAGGGGGGAGCAAGACCGTGGAGAGTTTTGAAGATGAGGACCAGGATCTTGAACTGTATCCTCTGTGTGATGGGAAACCAGTGGAGTCGGGTGAGGATGGGGGTGATAGGGTCGTGGAGCCCGGGGCGGGAGAGGACACGGGCTGCAGAGTTGTGGATGATCTGCAGCCTGCGGAGGGAGAGGTCGGGGAGGCCGACAACGAGGGAGTTTGCATAGTCAAGCCTCGATGTAATGAAGGCGTGTGTGAGGGTTTCAGTGGCCTGAGGTGTGAGACAGTGTCGGAGCCGAGTGATGTTGCGCAGGTGGGGGAAGGCAGAACAGGTCATGGCACAGATGTGGGGTAGAAAGGATAGTTGAGGGTCAAACAGGACCCCAGGCTTCCGGACTGGCTCAGTGAGGTGGAGTATGCAACCCTCGATGGTGATGCTGTCAGCGCCTGAGGCGAGGAAGTGCTGATGGGAGCCAATCAGGAGAGCCTCGGTCTTGCTGACGTTCAACTGAAGAAAGCTGCCTCTCATCCAGGACTTGATGTCTGACAGACATTCTGATAGCACCCGATTGGAGGGGTTCATGAAAGGAGTGATGGGAGATGAAGGAGCGAAGCTGGGAAGCAACAACTCGTTCCAGGACCTTGGAGAGGAAACGGAGGTTGGAGATGGGGCGCTAATTTGAGAAATACGCGAAGAGAGACAGCACCTACAGCAAAACACACAGAGACACCTTCCCCTCTCCAAGGTCCTGGAACGAGTTGTTGCTTCCCAGCTTCCCTCCTTCCTCTCCCGCCCCTCCCTTCTCGAACCCCTCCAGTCGGGTTTCCGTGCCGCCCCCGGCACAGACACCGCCTGGTCAAAGTGACCAATAACATTCTGTCCATCTGCGACCAGGGCTCCCTCCGCCTCCTCATCCTCCGTGACCTCTCTGCTGCCTTCGACACCGTTGACTACTGTCATCCTCCTCCATCGCCACACACACACAGACAGCACCTACAGCAATTCACACACAGCACCTACCGCAATACACAGAGAGACAGTACCTACAGCAATACACACAGACAAAGCACCTACAGTAATACACACATAGACACATTTACAGCATTATACCGAGAGATACAGCACCTACAACAACAGCAACAACAAGATTACATGTGTATAGCGCCTTTCACGTCGGGAGGACATCCCAAGGCGCTGGACAGTGACAGCATTTCAGACCCGAGCTGGGGTCAGGGGGGGGAGAAGGGAGGGGAGGGGAACGGGGGTGACCGATGGAATGGTCGAAGAGGAGGGTTTTGAGGCGGGACTTGAAGGAGGCTAAGGAGGGGGTGAGGCAGAGTGACTGGGGGATGGAATTCCAGAGGTTGGGGGCAGAGTGGCTGAAGGCTCTCCCTCCCACCTCTCTGCCGGGGTCGGGGGACGTGGAGCAGCCAGAGCCGGCTGAGCGGAGGGAGCGGGCGAGTTGGTAGGGGTTTAGGAGATCGGAGGGTGGGGCGAGGCCATGGAGGGCTTTGTATGTGAGGACCAGAATCTTGAACTGGATCCTCTGAAGGATAGGGAGCCAATGGAGTCGGGTGAGAGTGGGGGAGATGGGGTCACGGAGTTTGGTGCGGGAGAGGACACGGGCTGCGGAGTTCTGGATTATCTGAGCCTGTGGAGGGAGGAGTTGGGAAGGCCGACAAGAGGGCGTTTGCATAGTCGAGCCTGGAGGTGATGAAGGTGATGAACAAGAGTTTCAGCGGCCTGAGGGGTGAGGTAGTGGCAGAGTCGGGCGATATTACAGAGGTGAGGGAAGGCAGAGCGGGTCATGGCTTGGATGTGGGGAAGTAAAGACAGTTGAGGGTTGAACAAGACCCCCAGGTTCCTGACTGGCTGGTGAGTTGGTGAGCTGTAGTGTATAACCATGGAGGTTGATGCTCCCAGAGCCTGAGGTGCGGAGGTGCGGAGGTGCGGAGGCGCTGCGCGAACCAATCAGGAGGGCCTCAGTCTTGTTCACATTCAACTGTAGGAAATTTTCCCTCATCCAGGACTTGATGTCCGACAGTCAGTCTGTCAGGACAGCAGTGGTCCTGGAGTTGAGGGAGGAAGCAGAAAGATAGACCTCACGTCTGCGGATGACGTTACCAAGGGGGAGCATGTAGATACCAAAGAGAGGGCCAAGGACAGAGCTCTGGGGGACGCCGTGACAGTGCGGGGGCTGGAGGAGAAACGTTAGAGGCAACAAAGTGGAGACGGTGAGAGAGATAGGAATCGAACCAGGCAAGGGCAGGTCCGCGAAGATTAAAGAGCAATACACATAGTACCTACAGCAATACACACCAAGCGACAGCACCTACAGCTATACGCACAGGCACAGCATCGACAGTAATACACACAGAGACACAACCTACAGCAATACACAGACACAGCACATACAACAATACACAGACACAGCACCTACAGCTTTACACAGACACAGCACCTACAGCTATACACAAACACATCACCTACAGCTATACACAAACACATCACCTACAGCTATGCACTACACAGCACCTACATCTATACACAAACACAGCACCTACAGCTATACACAGACACAGCACCTACAGCAATACACACAAGCACAGCACCTACAGCAATAATAATAATAATAATCCTTGCATTTGATATAGCGCTTTTCACGTCGGGAGGACGTCCCAAAGCGCTTCACAGAACACACTGTAAAGTGAATTGACTGTATATTTGTGGGAGAACGCGGCAGCCAATTGCGCACAGCAATGTCCCACAAACAGTCGTAGATTGAAAATGACCAATTTATTATTGCTTTTTGGAGGGATTATTATTAGGCTCTGTGTGGAGTAAGGAAACTTGCCCGAGGTTTGGCCCTGACCCCCCGGGGATTGAACTCAGGTCTCTCACTTGCAAAGCGAGTGCTCGAACCACTGAGCTACAGGACTCCGCAGCACACAGAGAGACAGCACCTACAGCAATACACACAGAGACAGCACGCGGAGCAATACACACGGGAGCCAATCAGGAGGGCCTCGGTCTTGTTGACGTTCAACTGAAGAAAGTTCGCTCTCATCCAGGACTTGACGTCTGACAGACATTGTGTCAGGACAGCAGTGGTCCTGGAGTCGAGGGCGGAGGCAGAGAGGGAGAGTTGGGTGTCATACATGTGGGAGTTGACCCCATGTCTGTGGATGATGTCACCAAGAGGGAGCGTATAGATATTGAAGAGGAGGGGACCAAGGACAGAGCCCTGAGGAGCATCGCACGAGACGGTGCGGGGACTATGGAGGAGAAACCATTGTGGAGATGAAGTGGAGGTGGTGTGAGAGGTACAATCTGAATCAGTTAAGGACAGAGACGTGAAGGCTGAGGTGAGAGGAGAGGCGGTGGAGGAGGATGACAGTAGTCAACGGTGTCGAAGGCAGCAGAGAGGTCACGGAGGACGAGGAGGCGGAGGGAGCCCTGGTCGCAGATGGCCAGAATGTTATTGGTCACTTTGACCAGGCGGTGTCTGTGCCGGGGGCGGCACGGAAACCCGACTGGAGGGGTTCGAGAAGGGAGTGGCGGGAGAGGAAGGAGCGAAGCTGGGAATCAACAACTCATTCCAGAACCTTGGAGAGGGGAAGGGAGGATGGAGATATACACAGAGAGACACAGCACCTACAGCAATACACACAGACACAGCACCTACAGCAATACACACAGACACAGCACCTACAGCAATACACACAGACACAGCACCTACAGCAATACACACAGACACAGCACCTACAGCAATACACACAGACACAGCACCTACAGCAATGCACACAGACACAGCACCTACAGCAATGCACACAGACACAGCACCTACAGCAATAGATAGAGACGGCACCTACAGTGATACACAGAGACCGATCCTACAGTGATGAACACAGAGATACCACCTACAGCAATACACACAGACAGAACCTACAGCAATACACACAGACACAGCACCGACAGCAATACACACAGACACAGCACCTACAGTGATACACAGAGACCGATCCTATAGTGATGAACACAGAGATACCACCTTCAGCAATACACACAGTGACAGCACCTTCAGCAATACACAGTAAGTCAGCACCTACACTACACAGAGAGAGAGTACAATACACACAGAGACAGCACCTACAGTAATACACAGACACAGCACCTACAGTAATATAGAGACAGCACCTACAGTAATGCACAGAGACAGCACCTACAGTAATACACAGACACAGCACCTACAGTAATACAGAGACAGCACCTACAGTAATGCACAGAGACAGCACCTACAGTAATACACACAGCGACACAGCACCTACAGCAATACAGAGACAGCACCTACAGCAATACACAGAGACAGCGCCTACAGCAATACACACAGACACAGCACCTACAGAAATACAGACAGACAGAGCA